GTCCAAGGTATGGGCCACCTCGATGTGAACGGCACGCATAGTCATGCAAGTGAATACACAGCCATATCGCTTTTCGGTACCGCGTCCTCGTTTGACTAACAGAGGTCCGAAGTAGTCCACCCCGGTGAAGGCGAATGGTCTACTGCTGCAGTTGGTTCGTTCAGTTGGAAGGGGGGCCATCACTTGGTAGCAAGGCGGCGAAAACCATCGACGGCAGTGATAACATGACGAAAGGACGCACCTGACGGCGGCTTGTCCCTGCACAACCCAGTATCTGTTGCGCACAGCTGCCAGCACTTGCCCAACTCCCACATGGCCGTTGCTTTCGTGGTAATGTTTTATGATAAGTGTGGTGACGAAGTGTTTCCTTGGCAGTATAATAGGGTGCTTAGTCTCGAAAGGTAAAGCAGCCCATCGGAGGCGACCTCCTACGCGAAGTATACCGTGATCGTAGAAAGGATTCAACTTTCGAAGCGGACTGGCGGACGAGACTAAAGTACGCTTGTCTCCGTCGGGTTTTCTGCTCAGTAAGCGGAGCTCGTCTGGGAACGCGGCCTGCTGAACTAACTTTGAAACGTAAATTGACGACTTCATTATCTCTTGTTGAGTCAGATGACGAACGGGGTCCGTCGTGGACCTGGATTGTTTTCCGAATAGATTGCAAAACCGTCTGAGCCACGTAATGGCCCTCAAGAGCTTCATCCAACTGCCATAGTGACTAAACTTATCCAACCAAGATACGGTCGACTGTACGTAAGCAACTGTGCAATTCTGGATTTTCTTTATCATTTCTGGAGGAAGCTCAGATTGTAGAATTGGTTCTGCTGGCCATGACGACTCTTCTTCTAGCAAGAAAGGCGGTCCTCGGATCCATGAGCTGCGCCCTAAATCTGTTGGAGACACACCTCGCGATGCGATATCTGCTGGGTTGTTTTTACCCTCAACATACTTCCACTGGCGCACATCTGTGAGTTCGTGTATGGCTGCCTTGCGGTTCGCGACAAAACTCTGGAAACGCGTAGTTGTGTTGCGGAGTGTTTGAAGGACGATCATCGAGTCCGTCCAGAACGTAGTAGCCGTGATCGGTAGAGACAACTCTTCTCTCACTTGCGTGGCCATTCTCGCAGACAGCAGGGCAGCTGTAAGCTCCAGACGAGGAATCGTGACGGCCTTCAGAGGGGCAACACGAGACTTGCCCCACACAAAGTAACACTGTCGGCGGCCCTCATTTCGTGATCGAAGATAAAGAACCGCTCCGTAGGCCCTTTCTGAGGCATCCGAGAAGCAATGAAGTTCGTAAGATTGGGAAACAGCGTCCTCAGACGACAAACATCTCGGAATTCTCAATTGGGTGAGAGCGACCATGGAACGTCTCCACTTTTGCCACACTTGCACGATTTCGGCGCTTACTTCTTCATCCCACTTGACCTGAAGCCTGCAAAGCTGTTGGAACAGCAGCCTCCCAGGTAGTAGAGCCGGGCAGACAAATCCCATGGGGTCATACAGAGAGGCTATAAGTGACAGCATTCTTCTCTTCGTGGGAGTTTCAAACTGGATATCCACTTGGAACAGGAATTCATCAGTCGACATGTCCCATTGAACCCCAAGTGCCCGGTGCCACGAAGGTGGTTGCAGATCTACATCAAGATTTCGCTGCGCAAGATCCTCAACAGGGATTTTAGCTAAGAGGATAGGTTCGTTTGTCGACCACTTCGTCAACCGGAACCCGCGGGCTGCCAGGGCTGCCTGTAGATCAAAGGCGATGGTCGCAAGACGTTCTGGAGAAGTGGCACTTAGCAGCAAATCATCAACATAAAATGACCGTTCCGCTGCCAATAAGTCAGCGTGGTTCGACACGTTAGCATAGCTCCTGATGGCATGCTTTAGGGCGAAACTGGCGCAAAAGGGAGATGAAGTTGCGCCAAAGGGGTGTACAGTCATACGGTAAGTCTTTGGAGCCCGCTCAACGTCACCGCGCTCCCACCATAAGAAACGCAGCACGTCTCTGTCGGATTCGGGTACCTTCACTTGATGAAACATTGACTCGATATCTGCCGTGACCACGTGCCTATATTGGCGGAAACGAAGAAGGACTCCGAGTAGACTGTTCACGATGTCTGGACCAGTAAGCAGCTGTGAGTTCAGGGAGTTCCCTTGGACTTGACATGCACAATCGAAGACAACTCTCACCTTATTTGGCTTGTGGGGGTGAACCACCGGATGATGTGGCAAGTACCAAGTTCGTCCAGTGCGTTCGGTCTCCAGGAGAGGATTGACCGGCTCGGCATATCCTTTTATCAGATAATCATTGATGGCCGACGCATAGAGATCATGGAGATGTCTGTCCTTAATAAGTCGCTTACGAAGGGAGTCGAGTCTTTGTCGAGCAACGAGATAACTCGATGGTAAGCTCGGACAACCTGCCTTCCAGGGCAGAGCAATTTCATAATGTCCATCTGTCAATCTCAACGAAGACTCTGCAACAGATAGTGCCTGTTCGTCAGCCTGGGACGCAGAGCGCTTGTGTGATGGTGGGTCTCTGAACTCTATGTCAAACATGGCCTCTAACTTTGAATCCAGACTGTCTGCCACATGGCAGCTGAGCTGGTTGATTCTAGCCAGCCTGTCGTTTGTATCACTTACCGGCCCAAAAAGGACCCAACCGAGTGGTGTTCGATTAGCGTAAGGCTCGTGTGGCCTGCCCGTTCGGCTTTCCAGCACCCAATGCGCCATCGGTACATCCATCCCGATCAAGAGGGATATTGGTTGGCTTCCGGCAGTCTCGAACGGAATTCCCTTCAAGTGATTCCACTTGGACCACTGCTCTCTCGTTGGCAAGGTTTGAGTAATCGATGGGAGCTGACGAACAGTCCACGCCTTGATAGATTGCGGCGTCTCGGTCGGTGGCGATGTATCTATCTCAAAACTGACCCGAGTGGTCGATACTTCATTCTGGCCGTTGAGGGTGGCAACGCTTATGTTTGTAGGCAATCCCGATAGCCCGAGATTTAAGGCTACATCCTCTTTCAGCATCGTACAGTCTGAACCACTGTCAAGAAGTGCATTGACTCTATAAGCTCCACGGGGACCGCGAAGAGTTACAGGCAGTACGCCGAGCGCCACGATTGTCTGATTACACGATCCGCTGGCACAGTTGACACTGAGGTCTGGACGGCATTCTTCCTGGCATGTTGGCCCCACTGACTTAGCTGAAGGCTGAGTGGGCGGATGGAGCAATGGGTGATGTAGACCTTGGCAGCCATTAAGTCCGCAACATCGCCTCGAGCGGCACTGTTTCGCGTTATGCCTTGGCTTGAGGCAAAGCTCGCAAAGTGCAGCTGAGCGGATGAACGTTGCACGGGAATCAACGTCCAAGCGAATGAATTGCGAGCATTGATCGAGGTAGTGCATTTTACCACAGTGCACGCACGGACGGGACATCGTCGGGCTATGTTCTCCATTTCCAGGCTTATTAGCCGCGGACGTCGTCGCAAGTGTGGATAGCCTTGGCGATGGTGCCGTCACAAAGCTACGGGGGCGTTCTGACTTGCTGGTGCTCGGCTGGGAAACATTCGGCAGATAAGACTCTCTAACTGATAATGCATCTGCTCTGTCTAGAACATAATCGGTCAAATCGACGAAACTGGGCTCTCGGTTCTTCCTAAGGATTTCCGAGGCCCGGTCGAACCACTGTGACTGGATAGCAGTCGGAAGGCGGCTAATAATAGCGCCTATGGTTGTTCTAGTATTAAGCTCTGATGAGTAGTTCAGTTGGGATAGTACCAACCAACAAGCCTTCATTGTGTCGGCCAGCTTGAGTAGTGAGCTGGCGTCGTTCGGTCTGATGGGCGGCCCGGTTGTGACTGACGCAATATACTGTCTTGCGATCGTCGAGGGGTTGCCGAACCTGCGAGCCAATATCTTCCAGGCTTCTGCGTAGCCGTGTTCCGGCTCAAGTATCGTGCAGTGATCGATTGCTTCTCGTGCTTCACCTTCACATGCATCGATCAAGAAGGCTAGTCGATTCGCGGGATCCGTAACGTATTGGGCGACCCCACTGGTGAAACCCCTCAGAAACTTCCAGTAATTCAAGGGGTTACCGTCGAACTTTGGTACCTTTCTCTGAGGCATACCCATACAGAGGTTGAGCAGTTCCGGAAGATGTTGATACGTTATGGACGTCGTCTGTGGATTCTTTGGAGGCGTCATATGGTAGTTGGGGGTGATGGCCCCCTCCTGGTCAACTGGATGAGATGGAGGTCTAACGGAGTCTTGGGGTTTTCTGTCTGTAGCGGTAGCAGAACACTGAAGGTTAGCCATTTCGCGACGGACTTTGGCCATCTCCATTTCAAGCCATGCAGCTCTGTCTTTCAGATCTATAGGGAGCTCTCGCTTGGGCGACGGCGGGAAGTAATCGAGTGGAGGAAGGTCGGTGGAATGTTCGTCAGACATGGCGAAACGTCGGTTGAGTTGCGTTACTGATTAACTGCGGTAATTGTTGATTAACTTTGTAAGATCCGGACGGTTAAGGATCTCACAGGACGATTGCGACTATTAGATTATACGCAGTTCGTAGCCAGTAGTCAATAGGAGCAGACAGACGTGGGGCAGTAGATGATATATTGAAGACTGACAGGAACTGGTTCTACAGAAAAACGAATTAGTAAGCATCATGAATTAAGAAAACGTACAATCAACAATGACGCAATCTGTAGGAGCGGGAAGCAGTCACTGTCACAGCACGGATTTCTGTAGGGGCAACAAGAAGTAAGTACCAAACGATGTGCAAACATACATATCGGGGCAGTCTGACAGTATGAGTTGGCCGTAACGGCGCAGGAGTCAGTACGTTCGGGATTTGAAGGACTGTCTTTCGGTCGGCGTCGACGCAGCCGCTCGTGTCGCGTGATAGGTCAGATTGCGCGGTTTCGTCCGTTTAAAACAAAGCTCAGCAAGGGCTATCTGCCAGGTGCGATACATAGGTAATACGAAATAAACAGCTATACTGGACGTCCGGTTGGTGTAGTCGGTGACGCGTTCGCCTGCTGTCCGCAGACTCTGGGTTCGATACCCGGTCGGCGCGCTTTTCGGTCGGAGTGGACGCTCGCGAATAGGTGTAATCCAGACGAACTTGCAAGCAATGACGGACGGGCAAATTGAGTATTGACATCAGTTACTGAGGCATAAGCAGACCCTAAGCCGGGACGAAACAGGGGGGAAAACGAGCAAAGAAACGAAACGGTGTCGTAATAAACAGATGCGAGTCACGTTACTCATAAGTAGTCGGAAAACAAGAAAGTTACCGGGCAGGCGGAATCAACAGTCACCAAGCAGCAGTTCATCAAATCCACAGGTATTGAAGTCTAACAACGTTAAGATATTTATGAAAATGTATTGGGGGATTATGCGTCACCCTCATCTTTCGAAGCCAATGAGATTTTAAGGTATTGTAGCCTTTTTTTCCGAAATTTCATGCGCTTGCTGTTTTATCTACGGGTAACAAATTTCTGCGAATTTTCGTTCTTAGATGTACGTTTTGCTTAGCAGCTTCCTTACCCTGAAATCACCAGGGAAAAGGAGTAATAGAATTTTTTTTAATCACCAAAAATAAGCCGTTAGCTTACCGGCAGGGAGAACGACACAAAGGTGCGTTGAAAAGTAACTCCGACCAGGTTCTAGATGTAGCAGGAGGTTATTCGATGCACTGAAGCGCCAGACTGGGGAACATTTTTGGTTGACTAAAATATGCACTCTGAGACTGAAAATCTCATCATAGTTTCTGCGCCAAATATTGCGCAAATCCAGTTTGAACAAAGTTCGATCACTACGTTAGGATCGAGGCAACCGTTTTCGTATCAGACTCGCTTCGCGTAAGAAAAGTCCACACCCATTAGGCGCTTTTCAGCACTCGGTTCAGACCTTGTGCGGATATTATTGAAGGTTCTGCGCCAGGCAAGCACCTGAATGTGTAAATATAAAAGTTCCTCACTCAGCCCGCATATATCTACAACCGATGCTTGCAAGTCTGCATTCGGACGCACAATTTTTACAGAAATGAGAAACGTTATGCACCGAGTCCGCATTTAGATTTGAAGATAAAAAATAGCTTGTATATAGACTGCGCCCACTAAGAACCACCCGGTGCGCAAACTTGGCTCGCTGGAGGCGTTGTGGTACCCCCTTCAGGATGAGGTCCACGTAACGTCTATTCGCCGTGATTCACTGTTGCCCCCATCCAAATACGCGCATACATTTCCGCAGAATTTTACAAGTTTGGATGGAAATGTGTTTGGAATTTAAAACCGTATATAAGCGAGGTAAACATTTTCTAACCCTTTTTATTGCTCCTGCCTGTTGCCTTCCTAACAGCTTTCGGGCCCTTTATTGTTCGTTGGCCATTTGAAATTAAAGGATTCTCTTCAGCCGATGAACTTTTTTGCTTGAAACTACTCATTTGGAGAACCTGTGTCGGAAAAAGACATTCGTTAGCCTCAAGAGCCATTTAGGCCTTTGTTTGAATTTGAGAGTGGCAAACTTTAGTTGAACATTGGACTCCATGCCAGTCTTGTTAAATCAGAGGCTCATTTTTCGGTTCAATCCCTACTAGTTAGGACCTGGGTTGAGCTATGCTACCGACACGCACGCGTGCATGTTTTCAGACATCCACGGCACCTACTGTTAACCAACGCCTGCACCTTTGTGGAATCGGTGAACAGACCTGCAATAACGGCTTCAAGGCATGACCATCGCGGTCTGTCTCACGGAACTTCACCAAATCTGTCCAATCTATCCTATGATGGCTGGACGCTCAGTTCTAAGCCGCTTAAGTGAACTAAACAATTACTCTTCTTGTACAATTTAGCCACAATGAGCGACTTCGGTACAAATTCTCAAAGCATAAGCAGGTGAAGCCGGGCAGATCTTTGGATATTGCATCGGCCTAGATGTTTGTGGGGCTCGGTCACGAAAGTAAAGCAAGAAGGTATAGAACAAATTTCAAAAGTGGAATGATAAAAACGTAGTTCCGGACGGTTGAAAGCGATGCCCTTGTTAGGTTGCTGAGAGAATTCAGAGTTTCGCAAAGACGGAAGATGTTGTTTTACACACCACTGCTATACACTAAAAGAGACCTAGAGACCTCGTCGTTGAATCCATTGCAGACTGAGAGCTCTCAGGGTTTCTTCGTTTAGCCAAAATGCACGCGCTTCGAATACCTCCATTTAATTCACCTAATCAAGTTGTTGCCATCCGTTTTACTGTCTCCTCCGTAACCTGACTTTACAGGCGGTTGTTCGCTTTTTTCCTGTTCAAATTGACTGTGCTGTTTTTACTGAACCAGAAGTACCACCGACTGGAAAATTATTCATCAGATGGAGTACCTTATTAATACACGAGTCACAAATGTGACACGTTGGTGGTTTTTCATCTTGCAGATCTGGTAGCATGCGCAAGCAATGGAAACTTCTTTTGGTGGTTGGGTACAACCTGTGGCGTATTAGACCCATCAAAATTCACCATCGTGCGTTCATATACCAGCAATCCCTCTAGAAGCACAAGTGCGTCAACCTTCCTCGGTGGTTCCGCGCATGATCTTCAATTCAGGGGATCCATAATAAAGCACTGTTTTTGTCCGTCTGTAGCTGCTGGTTTTGAACTATCCCGAATTTGTCGCCTATCTGGCGATACTTTACACCACTGACGGTGAGAAACTAATCGTTCAGCTCTGAAAAATTGCACATGGGATACTCTGGTAATTCTCAGCGGCAGACATGGATTGAATTGTCGTAAAAGCCGTAGCAACCATTGTCTGATTTGGGGTTGCGTGGCATCAAAGCACTTTTGTCAGCCAAACGTAGCACACGCCTCTCACCACTGCCCGGACTTGTGGTTGTCGGACTTCATCTGCGGTCGTTTAAGTCAACCCCGGTGTTTTTGTCTAGTCCGCTCGTGGATTTTGCTAGGTACTTTTGCGCAGTTTGACAGTCCTCAGCATGGTGTCCGTTGGTGCCGCTTCATTTTCCGCTAAGAAAATAGGTGACAATACCTCCACACATGCTGTCTTCTCGGGGATTACAGCAATCATAACAATACCGTTATTCGTGGCCAATGGCTTTTCCGCTGTGATTTAGAGGCTTCAATCTTGGGTAGCGGTCAGTTTAGCCAGTTTTCTATTTGAAAGCAAAGTAGTTCACAGATACTTTTGGGTTGATTAAGTGCTTGGGATCAAACATTTTGTTGCCGAAACATTGCTCACTTCGCGATTTCCGCCGCTGGCTATTCGCACAATGAGATTGATTTCTGGAAATCTACGGCATTTTCAGACTTGCCACTTCATGGTGTGGAATGCCTATGTATAATGTATATGCTCCTGTATTATTGAAAATCCTTTACTATGGCGATTTGTT